TCAATTTAAAATAGATTTTGGATTCCAACCGCATGATAGTAGTCAAAAATCAAAGTTCTACTACACGACAAAGCTGTTAGCCAATTATCTAGAAAAATTTTTTCGACATCGCCATACTCCCTCAAAGTTTCTGCAGAGGTCGAAATTTTTTTCCATTTTCGAGCGAATCATTCATGCTATCCTATGTTGGATAGTGCTCTGATTCTTGACATATAAAAAGTTTCGATCAAATCAAAGTACTGAACAACTATATTGGTCTCGCGTCTATTGACTCGCATCTATTGATGTGGACCTAGAATCTCATGACATGACTCATTCTTGACCGTGAGGACCAAGCCTTTTGAGAACTTTGAAACCATTTTATAGAGAAGAGAACGTTATGCAATATATGTGAATACCAGCTTGGTAGCTTTTTACGTGTTGTGGGAAAGCCGATATACTGCCAAAATTAGTTCTTGTTTAGAGACAAAAATAATGGACAGTTCCAGACAGTGTAAGTTAAATAAAGATTGAACAAGCCCTTGCAAAATAACGCCTAGATAACTAGCTAATTCTGTTCAGTTTTTTACGCTCTATCTCCGGGTTTATCAGATGGAAAATTCAGTCCACTTGCTATGGAAACAGAAAGCTCAACTTTTCAGAAACAATTTCGAATTTTTTTCTCATAAATGTGAAGCAGTAGTTAAAATTACAGCCGAGCTAATCTTCGGCAGCTCAGCCAAATTATCAACGTTTGGTTCTAGCAGGTTTTGATATTGCTGATTAGAGAGCTGCGGATCCTTGTTTTTTTGGATCCGGACCCGGACCCGATCAGATGCAGACCCGAGTTTTTTTTTCATTAATATTTTGCAATTTTTGTATACATGACCAAATAAAGGGTCAAGATTTTAGTTATTTATCGGTTACTCTCAGAAAAAAAGTCGATCTAAAGTTATTTCTTGTTGTCTTTTCACATATAGTCGTATTTAAATTTGAAGCTAAACACCAACCGGGTCTGCAGTTAAATTTATATATGAACCTGGACCCGACATTAAAAAGAAAATTGGACTCGGGCTCGGTCGGATCCGGGTCTGGAAGGGCTCGCAGCTCTCTACCCTTGGACATCATGTAGCGTCAAGGAAAAAAGCTTTATGTTTATATCTACCGGCATAGGTATGCTCATGAATAGCACTCTTCATTCTAATAGTGAACTTATTTCTCAGTCTTGTAGAACTCTCGTGAGGAGTGAGTTTAAGAGTTAAAAATGGCAACAACATTCATCATCAATGTGAGTACTAGTTTTCATATTGTATGAATACTCATCTTTTATCTATGAGCCGAGGTCGGTTTTTAAATGGAACTTTGAATCAATCCAACAAGCATCGGCATCTAACGATTTCTAAAGATAAAAACTCATAAATCGTTTATTTCAAGCATTACTGACGAATAAAAATGTCTGCCTGTTCAGCCGTGTCCCTAATCTAACGAACCCGCCTCTAGAAAGTGTTCTGTGAAAAAAAAGAAGTTTTCAATGCCAATACTTCGCGAGACTCCAAGAATACCTGATGTCATATTCTTCTCTTGGGATAAAAACTGAATTCCATCCTTATTATGTAGTTATACGAACCTTTTTCGTTTTATCTAGATTCGTCCAAAATTTAGATGTGGCGGCTCTCCTTTATTTTCGTTATCGCGATTGCAATCATTTTGGCTGCTGAACACGTTTCAGCGGCGCAGACGTCATGCACTTGCGAGTGCTGCCTCGGCATTGGATGTGAACCAACGGGTCAACCACCGTTCAATGTTGATGAATGCTCAATTTGCACGGACTTAAAATGCACCGATCAGTACCCGAGCGTTTGCCCAGGGCTAACGGGCACTGGTGTAACAGATTGCTATTGTGTGTCATCGGGTCCGAGTCAAAAGCTGTCGTTTGCTATCCTGCCAGTAATTCTTTCATTTTTGGCAATGATCATTGGACAGCTGTTACTTTGAAGTTCTGAGACTCGAAATACCTGTTTCACTATCATCCCGAAAGAGTGACGCTTCTTTATGAATGAGTATCTTCTAGTTTTCTGCTTCTCACTTCTGTTTGTTTTCTCCTATCAATCAGCATTATCAATTAATGTGCATCCTATTTCCTTACTCTCTTTTTTCAGTAATATTCACACTACTTTTTACTCTCAATCTAACATAATTGATTCAGGCATAGCCCTTGTTGTCAACAACTACACTGTAAATTTCAAATAAATTCTAGTTTGTAGAAAATCGACTTTAAAAAGGCTACAGAATTTTGAAAGTTTTATTTTTCGTTGTCCGAATTTCCATTTTTCAGAAGGTAGTAGATTTCTGTTTAATTGAAATTCAGTTATATTTCCAGCACAAAATCGAAATTTAAATTCGCATGCTATATTTTCAAGAAAGTAGAAGTTCATCGTTGAATTCGTATGGGTGTGGGTGTGGGTGTGTCGATGTGGGTGCATGTGTGCGAGGAAAAGAGATCAACACTACACCAACGCATACCCACACCCACGTTAAGATGATTGTTGGCAATCGAAATCGTCGAGATACAAGAAATGAACTTATACACAAACGGCCTAAACGTTCATTTAAAAAAAACATATCGAAACAAAGTAAGTATTACATGGATTTAAATATACGTCAGCTTCTAGACTCAAAACTATAATTCCTCGATTTCTAGAGAGACGACGACAGAAAATAAAGATAATATCAAAACGAAATACTTCATCTCACTAGATACAACAAATAAAATCATCTTCTCATCAATATAAATGACATCGAAATCAATCGCAAACGTACTACTAACGTGGAAACCTCGTTCAAAAACCTTCATATATTATTTTTGTGTATTTCAATGCACCAACATGTGTTCTATTTCTTCTAACATTGATAATTGCATGCAAATAAATCCATATTATTCTGCACTCTATTACGTTCTGAAACAATACCTATCTTTAGATCTGACTACAAGTGACAACTGCATTCATGCATAAACATATATTCTAAAAATGCAAATTCACTTATATCGATCGATTACTATTTCTATCTATCTTGCCACTATAGGAGAACCATAAGGAAGATTCAAACCTCTGAAATATGAGCCAATCATCACTTGATTCCACATTGAACCGAACTAGAGATACAAGCCATCTGATGAGACCCTTGAGCAAGGTCGAAATCGCGATCATGGTAGCTGTTCTCACACCCTCACCCTCAAGCAATCCTGATAACTTTATAGTACTAAGGAATCGAGGTGCTTCCATTTCGACGCTCACTGTGTGGGTGTGAGGCGAATGTGGGTGGGTGTGGGTGCGGTTGGGGGTGTCGGTGTGGGTCTCTATGTTGTCTTCACCCATTCCCACCCACACCCACCCACACACCCACACCCACCCACACACCCACACCCACCCACACACCCACACCCACCCACACACCCACACCCACCCACACACCCACACCCACACAGACCCACACACCCGCACCCACACCCACACCCACCCACACACCCGCACCCACACCCACACCCTGTTAAAAAAATTTATATTTAATATATGGACCATTCAGGCAAAATGGGACGTACCCACTTTTAATTGAACTTTGATTCTTTATAAAGATTATTTTTCTGAATGACTTCTTTCAGAATAGACACATGTAAAAATGTTAAGTCTTTCAACTGACTATTAATTAAAAAGTAAATGGATGCTTGTTTTTTAAAATTTAGACATGCTGAGGAAAACACTTCAGAGAGAGAGATTTTGTAGCTTCAGATATTGCCTACAGAATTTATTATTTAGTTTCCACTAATGTTACCTTCAGTCGGAGTTTTTTTTAAAACTAAAATGCATGAAGTGAAAGTCGATATCTTTCTTGTATAACACAATTTACACTGTTTTTTTTACTGATAGCATCTCTCAAGAGAGATATCTAGTGCTGAGTTCTTTTTTTAAAATTATCTAGAGTAACTTAACATACATGTAAAATATAAAAATTATCTCTTATGAAATTCTTTATCTCGAGATATACGTGTTTTAACTTTGCAAAGTCACATGGCTAATAAATGATTTTGCCCATGTATTAGATTGATTTGAATAATCTTTTATTGAAAATAGAAATGTTACAAAATGAATTTTATAATATATTATTAATCATATCTTCATCAGATGATAATAAAGAACAATTATTATTTGTTAAGTTACAAAATTATTTATCAACTTTTGTTAAAATTAATTTATGTTTTAAAAAATCTGATCAATGTTTATCAATAATAACTTGTTTATCTAATAAATCATCAATAATAATATCATCTTCATTTTTTTCAAATGATGATATTAATAAGGGTGTGTGGATGTTGGATCTTCTTTTCGACCTCTCACATTCACACCCACACCCTGAAACAATCTGATAACGATGATGATTCACAATTAATTAGTTATTGTATAGGAAAATGTGAAGAACGACGAGCTGCATCATTGAATGAAATTTGTCTAATGACTATTAAAGACAGAAAAAATAATTCTTAATAAATTAATTCATAGTGCTAAATATTGTTTTCGTGTTCTTGCAGAAAATAAATATTGTCGATGAGAGCCATGTGAAACTATTCAACCAATACTCACTAAGAGTCCTTTTGGTAACATATTATATCAGAAAAATTAAAATTTTTCTTTTTAGATTTATCAATTATAAACAAAAAGATAAACCACATCGTCGAATGATAGTCATCGAAGCAGACAAGAATTTTCAAAAATATGATTAAACACCCTAATTACAGTTTTCCTTTCAATTTAAACGATGAGTAAAGATAGTTAAACGAAGACAACTTTTGCATTTGGAAAACGTTCAAAAGATTTTCTCTCAATATGTTTGATATACATCATTCATAAAAAAGTCGTTTTTATCTGCAAATCCATCAAATTATTTCTGAAAAAAAATGTTTGCATGGTACGTGGACATGAAAACATTCAAACAGCAACTGCATTTAGGATGTCTAAACGCGTTTTAATTAAAATTTTCTCTCGGAGCTGATGTTTTGAAATGAAATTCAGCGTTTACACTTTGATTTACATATAAAAATTGACTTAATTTATCTACTGTTGAAAATTTCCAATGTCTTATACTCCTACAAAACAAAAAAAAAACTTCAAAATAATGTAACGAAATTCATAACATTTCTTGATGAAGTTTCTTTATTGTTTCATTGTCTATGTCGATTAAGAAAGAAATTCTAAAATTTGATTTCTAAACCATCCATGTACACCAGAAGCTGCATTTGTTGATGCAATATTTTTTTAAAAAACATGTTGCATTCAACAGATAGTTCCATGTAGTGATAGTCGAACGCCATTAACAGGTTATTTTGTTGAACGTCGTTTACAAGGAAGTTCAAGTTGATCAATCAGAACCAAAAACTTCATCAATAATTATTGTTACTAAAAATTCACTCCGTATATCATATGATTTTTCAAAAAACTAAAAAAAAAGAAAATAATAATTGTTTAGGTAAACCACGTGCACCTAATGTAATCAATAATGAATAGATTATTGAGTTAAATTGATAACCATCAATAGCAGGTTATGTAATTGAACGATGAACCGCTTGAAATTATAAATTACATGTAAATTAAAGAAAAGTTTTTTTTTTTATTATTTTACGTTTGTTTGTGTTTCGTGTTCTCATAAGGCTTCAACTGAATCAATTGAAGACATAGTAACAAAGATACAAGACATAAATATAAATATCATATTCGAGCTCAAAATTTAGCTGACTTTAGTAAACCATTGAATTCTACTAAAGAAACTAAAATATGAGAATCGATTATTGGTGAAAAATCAAAATTTATTCAAAAACTGGAAGTTATGATAGTCATTAATGAACGACCTGTTATATTAACTGCTTGTGTTGAACATGATCGAACATCTGAATTTAAATATAAACTATAGCAAAGAATGCAGGTACTTATGAATTAATAGCTAAGAATACTCTGGGTTCAATTGTTTGTACGTTTTATGTAAAATATTTTTTTTATAAAAAATATTTAATCATAATTTTTTTTCTTGTCTTTTTGAATTTTATCATCATCTATCAATATTACTATTGATTAAATTTTATACATTTCACGTGAAGTTTCTGGATGTCCTCAGACAGCTATGATTTGTGAACCAGCACATGATCGAACATGTACTGAACAATCAAATACATTTATTATTGTATCTATACCCAAAAATTCATGTAAATGAAGGTAAAATTTATAAATTAATATAAAAAAAATTCTGACTGATTCAACTGTAACATTATTTGATGTTCGTATTCATACTGTTTCTCAATTAGAAAGGGTCGTTCACAATATGTTCGATGTGAACATCTTTTAAGTCGAATATTTAATTATGAATTTAATTGTTTAATAAAAGGAATCAAAATATACATAATCATCTAAAAATTTATTTCATTTGAATAGATACTACCAGACTATTATTTGAATCTGATTACAAATAAAAGTTTATATCTCAATTTTTGATTATAAAATATAAATTTGTATTCTTTATTCAACATTAGAGTACAATGATCTTGAATATACACGTATACTTGTTTGTTATATTTAATAAATCATTTTTTTAAACACTATTTAAATGTTCTTTTTTTTAATGATGTGTATTTTTATTGATTTTATTATTTAGTTAATCCTTATTCATCATTTTGGCAAAGTTTTTGATGAATGTGATAATTTATGTGAAAGAAAATAATTTTAGAAAGAACTTCTTGTTATTCTTCATCAAATCATTATTTGAAGGCAAATAATTTATCTGATTTGTTTTTTTTGTTTACTTTCTTTTAATTGTTTAATTAAAATCTGTTCTTAATGTATATTTATAGATGAATTAACAAAGTAAGATTCATCGAAAGATAAACTCTTAGCATATATTAAATATGTTCGTTTTGATACAGTTATTTCCTAATTATCGTGATCGTTTTCGACTAGAAATATCATTTAGAACAACTACACCGCATGTATTACCTCCTTCAACAACAAATAACGAAACTGTCGCACTTGCTAATAGAGATGCTAATCTTTCATGTATCTCTTTTAAAGAAGAAAAAGAATGTACACCATCTGATTCACAATTAAATCCAAGCGAATGAACTATGATAGAAATTAAAAGAGAAATAACTGAAAAATAGAATTACGTCCTTTGTTTTTTCTATTGTTGTGTATTCAATATGAAAAAACATGTTCAACATGATATTTACTTATTTTTCATAGACAAGATGTTCATAAATACAATTGAAGAATAACAAAAAACTAAAAATTTAAACGTTTTAATTTTTAATTGCATAGAAATATTTCAGAAGAATTGAATACAAAATAAAAATTCTTAATATTTTGACAATTTCTATAATTTATACTCACTCTTCTTCGAATTTCGATATACAAGAAGTTTTTTTTTCTTACCACATTAACTATAAGCGAAAGTCATAAGAACTTTATTAGGAAATTTGAAAATAAGTATTTATTTTGAATATTTATATTTTAATCTTAAAAAAAGAATATTTACAGGTAAGACATTGAAAAGTTTTATAGAAACATCTGATTTTTTGTGTACTCAAAAAGTGAGTATACTCTAGAATCGGTCAGTATGTCCGTCCGACCGGCCGTTAACACGATAACTTTTGAAAGGAGAGTCCAATCGCGATGAAATTTTCTACACAGTTCAGTCTTAACAATGTCTCGGTCGAGTTCGAAGATGAGAAGAATTGGCTGAACCATTCCTGAGTTATTGCAAAAATACTCATTTTTTCCTATGACTTCCTATGCGAAAATCGACCCATCCCCGCTTTCGTAAAAAACTTTTCCTATCATAGTCAAATGAAACCCCAACTTTTATATACCATTCGATAGAGAATTTCAAGAGCTACAAAATGGTATATAAAACATAAAGAAACAAGAAAGTTAACTCACCTATTGCAAAGATAATTAAACGGAATTCGGTTCTGTTTTTTGTCTGCCCTCTAATCGATCCACAAGTAGAGCTCTATCTTCCGATCACAGAGATAATACTTTGAGGTTTTCTGGGATGGAGAACTCGAATCTGTAATCCACTTGACTCGAAGCCCCATTGGTTGAGCACTGACCAATAGAAATAAAGTTATAGGAAAAATGCCTTTCTTAGGATGACCCAAGGCGAAGAGTCCAAATCTAAGCTGTATTCACCCTGAAATCCTATTGGTTGAGCAGTAGCCAATAGAATTCAAGTGTTTATAGAAAGGATTTGCCAGGCTAATTTTTATATCCGCACATTCTAGGATGGCCGATTTGTCTCATTCACTTTTTGAAGTACACATAACTCTCGGATTTAAATCCGAGGTTTCCACATTTATTTTAATATTTATTTTCTAACCTAATGTATCATGAAGTCTCATGAAAAAATGATTATAAATTCCATCAAGTATATATTCATTAACAAAAGTTTTTATTTCAATTAATCTACGATCCCTAACGAGGTTGTACTTGTCCATGGCTTTTCAAAAAACAATATAATGGACATAAACTTAAAACATTTTTTTATTCTTGTTGCATGTTTATTTTTCTTCATACATATGATTATAAAAGTACATACAATGCAAACAAGTAAAGAGACAACACAGAGTGGATACACAAATATAAAAAATATATATATATTTCTTTCAATCAGTCTGATATACACATACATGAATCTTCTAAGTTTACAAAAAAAGACAGTGATTAAATATTTTTAAGTAAATATTCATTAACAACAAGAAAATAAGATTAACAAAAAAAAAAAAATAAGATTAACAAAAAGAAAAAAAATCAGATTAACGACAAGAAAAAAAATCAGTCATTTTTACTAATAAAATATTCTCCTGGCTTACTACTTTTTATATAATGGAGGAGAATTAGAATCATCACCGCCATCTTCTAATTTTTTTTCAAGTTCCATTATTTTTTTATCCAAACCATCGCAACGTGAGCCAAGTTTTTGGTTGTCCAACAATAATTTGTTAACTAATTCTTCATAACTTTTAGTTTGTGCTTCCAGTTCTGCAACTTTTTGTTTCAATAGCCGATTCTCTTCTTTTAATAAATCACTATTTTTTTTTTCATCTTCCACTGGAAAATTCTAAAACATAGAAAGAAATTTTTTATCATCCGTTGTATGATTATCTTAATGAAATGCAACAATTGATATAACCATAAACTAATACTACTACTTAAAATTGATGATGCAATACTTCAATTATCTCTACTTCTTTATCAATAATAGATAAAACATTAGTATCGTCACTCATTATGTGTGTGTCGTGTAATTTTCGTTTAATCTAAAAAATTAAACAATTCAACATTAACTATACCTTTTTGATACACATGTTTGAAAAAAAAGATTATAATAAACTATATATCTTGATATATGAGAATATCTCTTAATATATGAGAATATCTCTTTGTCGTCCATAATATCACATTATGAGCCTGTATGTCAGCGTTCAAAAAAAAATTCATATAGGGAGCGCTAGTATCAAATATTTTATTCAATGCAGTGTGCTAATCAATGTTGAATCTCTTGATTTTCGCCTAGATCAATATCTCTTACTCCATTTTGTCTAATATTGAAATTTATTGTAGTAGTTATAGACAAAAATTTTAAATAATATCTAAACAATGTTATCTACAAATTTCTTGAGTATCTTTTCTTTCTTTAATATTTATTTTCTAACCTAATGTATCATGAAGTCTCATGAGAAAATGATTATAAATTCCATCAAGTATATATTCATTAACAAAAATTTTTATTTCAATTAATGTTTTAACAATATTTTCATCTGTTAAACCCATCCAATAGAATATTTTACCACAATTTGGATCAAGATTAAAATAATGAATAAATTCTGAAAATAGATAAATGTATATTTGTTTTTTTTTTAAATTAACATTAAAAAAAATTACCATGAATAGATAAAGATGATAATCTTTTTGTTGATTCAATAAGATTATTTGTAATAAAATTTCGACGTTCATCATTATTTAATATAGAATTAATATAGATTTCTTTTATTATCATAGCACGTTGTGTTAAATATTCAATTAAATCATCTTCACGCATAACTGAAGTAATTTCAGCAAGTAAATCCGCATCACATTTATGAAAAAATGATATAGATTCAAAATGTTTTAATAAAAATGATTTTTTAATAATAATATCTTGTTTAGAATAAACAAGTAGTTCAGTTGTTGATATAAGACCTGATGTTATTAAATCATCAAATATATCAATAATTGATATAAAATGTGGAATTTTATTAAATTCATCAAGAAATGATGTAAGTATTGTATTATTGAAATGTTCAATAATCATTTTAATTACAACACGTGTTATACAACTATGTAAATTTAAATGATCTTGAATTTTTTTTACAAATCTTTTTTAATTTTAAAAATTTTATTTAAATAGAAAGAAAAATCACAAAATAATTTTTATTTTATTTACTTTATTTAATCGTTCATCAATATTTTCTCTTGCATGAAAATCAATATAGAATTGATTTAATATTTCAAATGTAATCGTTTTTTCAGATATTAATGTATTAAAATTTTCTGGCAATAGCCATATTTGAGACATTATAGCACGTAAATCATTTACTGTAATTGATTTTGTTTTTTAAATTTTTTTTAGTAAGTTGTAATAAGTAGGGTTTTCCTAAGAGCTGTCATTACTTAAGTAGTAGACACTATTTTAAAACAAGAACTGTTAGCATAATATCTATTGAATTAAAATGTGAAATACGATGTAGTTGCTGTTGTTAATCACGGAGAAAGAGATTGTTTTGGGTGGATGTGGGTCTAGTCTTCTCTTCACTTACATTCACATTCACTCTGGAAACATCAATTTTTTCAATATGTTTCTAGTTTCGATATTTTTCCTTTAGACCTTTCTACAATCATTCGTAATGTTTGTCATGGTCTGTGGATGGGAGGTTTATATTTCTAATACAGAAGCAAAAACGTAATTGAATTAAAAAAGCTGTTAGCGCAATCCTTTGCGGGATTAAAAATGTGAAACACGATGGATCTACTGTTACTAATTAAATCGACTTCGTTTTCTTTCGTTTCTTTACGACAGATTTCTAGCTTATCGTTTGTTTTGATCTTCCAAAACTAGAGTTTCTGTGTAACAGTCTGTGAAGGATTTAGATATTCTCTATCACGGTCTGTGCTGGACTCCTGGAGTTCTCTGTCACGGTCTGTGACGGTCTCTTCGGGTTCTCTGTCACAGTCTGTGATGGTCTCTTCGGGTTCTCTGTCACGGTCTGTGATGATCT